TGGGATCGAGCCCCACATTGGGCTCCCTGCTCGGTGGGAAGCCTGCTTCTCCCTCTCCCACTCCCCCTGCTTGTGTTCCTGCTCTCGCTCTGTCAAATAAATAAATAAAATCTTAAAAAAAAAAAAAAAGAATCGTAGCCCTCATGGAACACTTATTCTGAGGGATGGGGCAGAAGTATATATAATATGTCAGAGGTTGATAAGCCCTAACGGGAAATATAAAATAGGGAGGAGATCTAAGAAATGCTGGACATTTGGGGATGAGGAATTGTATTTTGTAAAAGGGTAGTCAGAGAAGGCCTCACTGAGAAGGTGGCATTTGTATAAAGACCTGAGGGAGGTCAGGGAGTCAGCCAGTTAGATACCAGAGGAAGGGAGAGAAACCCCACTTACTTATCTTGAATCCTTAACTGAATATAAATCACTTAGCCTCTCATGTTGCCCAAGAGCTATCAAAATTAGGTTAATTTCTGAAGAACCCTCAACAGATAATTACATACTCAAGATTTAGTGAGGCTTTTAAGTGTGGGTGGGCAGGGGCTAGGAGAATGGGGGAAGTGTTTGGGAAAATATTGCAGTGGTGTTCTGTTACTTAAAAAGCCTTTCAGAGATTTCCTTATTATCGTGAAGGTAAGGCGTTGTGTTGTTTTCCTGCTCAACTCACCTCCTCCTGCAACTTATGAAACCTTCAGTCACGGTTGATATTTCTCACTATGAAGTAACTCTCAGAACTTAATTTGACATCCTGTAGGTTGAGGAGAAATGGGTTGTGAGGCAAGGAGCCCTTATGTAATATGGGGAGATGGAGAAGACTGTAAGACAGGAGGGTAAATGGTGTGAGCCTCAAGTGTTTGGGGTATTGCCTAGTTTCCTTCCAGTTTGAGCATCCCTTATTTTGGTCTCCTGAAGTCTTCTGATGTCCCTGCTCTGTCTGTAGTTTGCTGGGAATGAAGCTTCTGCAGTGTAGGATCCCAGTTTTGTCTACACATGGAGCTTTGACTTTTCTCACCGATTCTCTAGTTTCTTGATACTTGGGCCATGGGACTCTGACACAGTACGCTATGGGCTGGATTGAGCAAAGAAATTATAATTCAAGATGTTAATTTTCCTTTTCTGCCCTCAGCATCTGTGAGCGTGTGACTCCCCGGCTATCTCATGCCAACTCAGCAGTGGTGCTTTCAGCGGTAAAAGTCCTAATGAAGTTTCTGGAGTTGTTACCCAAGGACTCCGACTACTACAA